GGGCATGGTGGCGCGTGCCTGTAATCCCAGCTACTCAGGAGGCTGAGGCAGGAGAATTGCCTGAACCCAGGAGGCGGAGGTTGCGGTGAGCCGAGATCGCGCCATTGCACTCCAGCCTGGGTAACATGAGTGAAACTCCGTCCCAAAAAAAAAAAAAAAAAAAGGTCTGAGGCAACATCTTTAGATGACTCACCACTGATCAGAACTAGTACTTAACAATGTTCAACTTTACAGTTCAAAGATTTATACACTAACACAGAACTATCAACAACATGTTGGACCAGACTGAGCAAACCCTTAGAAAATACCCTTACTCTTTGTAGTTTCCAGCTGACAAGTCTCACTAAACAAGTGGTTTCTAGTAACAAGCATGTTTAACATACCCATACATAAATAAACATATATGATACTCCCTAAATTGGCAATATTCAGAGTCATTAATAATTTGAAGTTTATGGCCAGGCACAGTGGCTCATGTCTGTAGTAGCAGCACTTTAGGAAGCTGAGGTAGGCAGATCACCTGAGGTCAGGAGTTCGAATCCAGCCTGTCCAACATGACGAAACCTCATCTGTACTAAAAATTAAAAAATTTAAAAATAAAAAAATTAGCCAGGCATGGTGGCATGCACCTGTAGTCCCAGCTGCTCAGGAGACTAGGGCAGGAGAATCACTTAAATCTGGGAGGCAGAGGGTGCAGTGAGCCAAAATCATGCTACTGTACTCCAGTCTGGGCAACAGAGCAAGACTCGGTTTCAAGAAATAATAATAATAATTAATAATAATTTGAAGTTTTTTAAATTTTCTACTTTTTCTCTAATGAACATATATTACATATACAACTAAAATGAAATTTGTATATAAAACACCTGGTTCTATATGCATAATCACTCTCAGTATAAGTTTAAAAAGGCAAAAAAAATTCAGTCCCATTATATATCCAAAGTTCTAACGAAATAAGTGTTTACATATAAATAATAGAATAAGATATTGCTAGTTATGTCTTCACACTGCTTACCTTATTCACCAAAAGATAGCAAAAGAGTGCTGAATTCTCCTTTCCAAGAAGTTGGAACCACAGTAATTGGGAAGGTTTTAGCTCTTTTTGTAACCATGCCTTCCCAGTTTCAGTGAGTTCTACTCCGGCCAACTTAACCAGCAAAGCACCATGTGGCTCCTCTAAAAAGGTTAGGTAGAAAAAAGTTCAGCTTTAACAGCATGTTGTAAAAGCAAATTCCAAAGTCATTTGGCCTCCAAAAAACAAATATATTATGTTTATTTATAAATAGTCTCTCTAAATGTAGACCCATTTATTTCTATATTCAAGTTTTCTTTTAAAACAATACAAATATATATAACAGAGTAATTTCAAAAACCCATCTCTTTTTTTTTTTTTTCTTTTGAGACAGAGTCTCACTCTGTCACCCAGGCTGGAGCGCAGTGGAGCAATCTCGGCTCACTGCAATCTCTGCCTCCCAAATTCAAGCAATTCTCCTGCCTCAGGATCCTGAGTAGCTGGAATTATAGGCATGCGCCACCATGCCCAGCTAATTTTTGCATTTTTAGTAGAGACAGGGTCTTGCCATGTTGGCCAGGCTGATCTCGAACCCCTGGATTCAGGTGATCCACCCACCTCAGCCTCCCAAAATTCTGGGATTACAGGGGTGAGTTGATGCGTCCAGCTTTCAAAAATCATTTCACTAAGCTTTAGAATAGGAAGTGTGATTTACCTATTTAATCTTCTTTTTTCAACCTCCCATGTGTATTTTTATACATACACACATAAAGCTATAGACCTTCAGTTTCGGAATATGGGCTATCACCACCAAAATAACCACAGAAACTGTTTTTCATTTAACTTATTAAAGATATCTTCCCATCTCAACAAATATTGATCTACATCAATACTGTTAGGCTTATACATTACGCAAAACTAACTTCTAGACAAGATTTTATCAATTTATATCTAAGTAGCATAATATGAAGAAGACCTGTTTACTCAAACCCTTGATAGAATTTTAACCAATTTAACTTTAATAACAAGATTTTATTTTAGAAAAAGTTTATAATGTTCCAAAAAGGGATAACAACTGCCAAAAAAAAAAAAAAAAGAAAAAAAAAACAGTGTCTTAAAAAGAACCTATACATTTAACATACATTAAGCTCTTATATAATGGTTGAAAATATAAAGTTAAATTAATCTATTCTTCAGGAAAGAAACAATACTTTAGTTCAAGGAGATATTCTAGAACACTGTTATATTATTTGATTTAAAAAATAAAAATTTCTTTAGGATATGGGCTTCTTAAAACCTGTCCTAGAATTTTAGTTGAGAAGCATCAAAAGGCTTAGTGGCCAGGTGCCGTGGTTCACACCTGTAATCCCAACACTTTGGGAGGCCGAGGTGGGTGGATCACCTGAGGTCAGGAGTTCCAGATCAGCCTGGCCAACTTGGTGAAACCCCATCTTTACTAAAAATATACATATTAAAAAAATTAGATGCGTGTGGTGGCGGGTGCCTGTAGTCCAAGCTACTTGGGAGGCTGAGGCAGGAGAATCGTTTGAACCCAGGAGGCAGAAGTTGCAGTGAGCTGAGATCACACCACTGCACTCCAGCCTGGGTGACTGAGACTTCATCTGAAAAAAAAAAAAAAAAACAACAACTATAAGTGATTGCACTACTACACTCAAGCCTAGGCACCAGAGCAAGAACTTGTCTCAAAACAAATAAGAAGGATGGGTGCAATGACTCACACATGTAATCCCAGTACCTTGGGAGGCCGAGGCAGGTGGATTACCTAAGGTCAGGAGTTCAAGACCAGTCTGGCCAACAGGGTAAAACCCCATCTCTACTAAAAACACAAAAATTTTATAAAGCCAGGTGTGATGGCTTATGACTGTAATCCCAGCACTTTGGGAGCCCAAGGTGGGTGGATCACCTGAGGATAGGAATTCGAGACTAGCCTGACCAACATTGTGAAACTCTGTTTCTACTAAAAATACAAAATTAATCAGGCATGCTGGCACATGCCTGTAATCCCAGCTACTTGGGAGGCTGAAGCAGGAGAATTGCTTGAACCTGAGAGGTGGAGGCTACAGTGAGCTGAGATTGTGCCATTGCACTCCAGCCTTGGTAACAAGAGTGAAACTCTCTCTCAAAAAAACAAACAAACAAACAAAAATACAAAAATTAGCTGGCTGTAGTGGTGTGTGCCTGTAATCCCAGCTACTTGTGAGGCTGAGGCATGAGAATCACTTGAACCCGGGAGGTGGAGGCTGCAGTGAGCCAAGATCGCACTACTGCACTCCAGCCTGGGCAATAGAGTGAGACTCTGTCTCAAAAAAAAAAAAAAAAAAGAAGAAGAAGAAGACAAAAAAGGTATTTGTAGAATGATCATACTTTTAGTAAAAACTCTGCATTACAGTAAGCAAATACACAAATTAGATTGAGGCTGTACATCCAACAAAGATTAAATGATGTCAAATCATTAGTACATAATGAGTTACAGAAAGGCTGAAAACTCTGAGGTCTTTCTCCAATCCTTTAATGTTGCCAACACCACCAATCCTCTTCCAGTAAGACATCCTGGTAGCAGCAGGAGGCAGCCAAACTCCCAGGCCAATAAGGGGCAGGTACCTGGTGAAATCTGACCTTCAAACCAAAGGCAGTTTAAAATCTGAAAACCAAGCTACACGTCTCAGATAAATCCTTGGACTGGATAGAGAGCCTCTCTTCTTGTTTGGCACTCTTTCCTCTGATTGATCCCCACCCTTCACCTCTTTTACATATACCTACCCTTTCCTAATTGGTTTTTGCATTGTCGTGCCCATTTTTTAATGGTGCCCTTTCTTTTTAGACTTTTTTGCATACTCACAAACCAATCAGCATGCACTCCCCCATTCTGAGCCTAAAAAGACCCAAACTCAGCCACACTTCAAGACTGCATGTCTTCAGGCAGGGGACTACCGACTTCAGGTGGAGTTGCCCAAGTCAGATACCCTCTCTGCTGAGAGCTGTTTTGTCACTCAATAAAACTTTGCCTTGCTCACCCACTAGTGGTGAGCTAACCTCATTTTTCTTGGATGTGGGACAAGAATCAGGACCCGCTGAATGGGGAGTGTAAATGAGCACAGGATACCAACCAGGGTGCAAGCCAAGTACAGTTCCTGGGGCCAAGTGGGTAGGGTACCTCCTGAGGCAAGCCCAGGACCAAGCAAGGTCCAGACAGGGGCATTGCCAGCTGTGGAGTCTCTGCCTGGTAAAGCAGAACCAAAATATCCTGTGTTGATCCCACAGTCTTTTTAGAGACCAAAGCTTTGGGAACCAAAAACTTGAAGTGGATGGTCCATTAATCTAACAACGTATTAATGTCCTAATTCTTTACTTGACAAAGGTCATTATATTTCCTTTAAATTAGCAAATTTCCCATTGAATATGTAAAATATAATGTAATCAGTAAGCTTTTAAAAATAAACCTTCCAAAAACAAATTGCTTTTTTGAAAAAGCAAGTGTTGCTTTTATTTTTTTAAGATGTAAGTTTATTTCTTGTCACCCAGGCTGGAGTGCAGTAGTGCAATCCTGGCTCACTGCAATCTCTGCCTCAAATGATTCTGCTACCTCAGCCTCCTGAGTAGCTGGAATTACAAGGACATGTCACCACACCCCCGCCACCACACCCGGTTAATTTTGTATATTTAGTAGAAAGGGGGTTTCGCCATATTTGCCAGGCTGGTCTTGAACTCCTGACCTCAAGTTATCTGCCCACCGCAGCCTCCCAAAGTGCTGGGATTACAGGCGTGAACCAGTGTGTGTGGTGTGCGTGCATGCATGCGTGTGTGTGTGTGTGTGTGTGTTGAGACATGGTTTTTGATCTGCCACCCAGACTGGAGTGCAGTGGTGTGATCACAGCTCACTGTAGCCTCAACCTCCCAGTGTGTATGTGTGCGTGTGCGCATGTGTGTGTTGAGACATGGTTTTGCTCTGCCACCCAGGCTGGAGTACAGTGGCATGATCACAGCTCACTGTAGCCTCAACCTCCATGTGTGTATGTGTGTGTGTGCGCACGTGTGTATGTGTGTTTGTGTGTGTGTGTGTGTGTATTGAGACATGGTTTTGCTCTGCCACCCAGGCTGGAGTGTAGTGGCATGATCACAGCTCACTGTAGCCTCGACCTCCCAGTCTCAAGCAATCCTTCTACCTCAGCCTCACGTGTAGCCAGGACAACAGGCACACGTCATCACGCCCAGCTAATTTATTTGTTTCTTTGTCTGTTTTTTAAAATCAGGTCTCACTCTGTCACCCAGGCCGGAGTGCAGTGGCATGATCTTGGCTCACTGCAATCTTTGCTTCCTGGGCTCAAGCAATCCTTTTGCCTCAGCTTCCCAAATATCTGGGACTACAGTCCCATGCCACCACACCCAGCTAATCTTTGTGTTCTTTGTAGAGAGAGAGTTTCACCATGTAGCTGGGCTAGTCTCAAACTCCTGAACTCAAGCGATCTACCCGCTTTAGCCTCCCAAAGTGCTGGATTACAGGTACAAGGCATCGCTAATTTTTAAAATTTTTTTATAGAAGACAGGGTCTCACAATGTTGCCAGAGCTAGTCTCAAACTCTTGGGCTCAAGGCATCCTCCTGTTTCAGCCTCTCAAAGTGCTAGAATTATGGGCATGAGCCACTACACCTGGTCTTTGATTTCTAATCTGTGAATTTTTTAGTTTTATGTTACTGCAATGTGAATCCCCCTATCTTCTCAGCCCTTCAATAAATCTTTTATATAAGCATCAAAAATAAGTAAATAAAGCCCAATTCAAAACAGATGGATGACACAGTAGATGCTGGTTAGGAGGGGAGAACAACTTAGGCTCCAATGGAGTAGGCCAAGAGTACTCTGCCAAAAAGGTAGAACTTGGCCAGGTGCAGTGGCTCAGCCTATAATCCCAGCACTTTGAGGGGTAGAGGTGGGCCGATGGCTTGAACCCAGAAGTTTAAAAGGGCTGGGCAATATAGTGAGACCCTGTTTCTACAATAAATAAACTTAAAAATTAGCAGCCATGATGATGCACTCCTGTAGTCCTAGCTGCTTAGGAGGCTGAGGCGAGAGGACTGCTTCAGCCTGAAAGGTGGAGGCTGCAGTGAGCCATGATCATGCCACTGCACTCCAGCTTGGGTGACAGAGCAAGACTCAGTCCAAAATCAATCAATAAAGATAAGGTGAGACTTAGATGTTTCCAATAAATAGAGAAGCAGAAGGGAGTAGAGAGTGACTATGTCAAGTAAAGGAAAGATCATGATTATCTAGAAAAACTACAAACATGAGATGAATACTGGAGCAAACCCCAACTAGGGAGTCTGTTATATTTCTGCCTCATGAGATGGGTGGGAAACTTTGTGACTAAGCATTTTTAAGGTTTTTAGAGAAATAGGACATCAAACAAAAACTGATTTTTTGTAAACAACTCTAGATCTATAAAATACTATAAGTGGATTTATGACTGCACAACTTCATGAGACACACTGAAGTTGTATGACAGCAGAATCATCTACGCCTATGTCACAATTTTTTTTTTTTTTTTTTTTTTTTTTTTTTTTTACCATTAGGGATAAGAGAAACTTTGAAAATTTCCTCACTAGACTGCAGGTTTTATGACTACTGCAGGCATGTGCCCATTTTTGTTTGCCGCTGTACTGAGACTGAAACAATAGCACAGGTATTCAGTAATATCTGAAAGAATGAACTATTCTAAATGTTTTACTTCATAAAATTTTTAGGCTCTGTGCATGTGTGTGCTTGTGTGTGTGTGTGTATGTGTGTGTGTGTGTGTGTGTGTGTGTGTATGTGTCTGCGTGTGTGTATGTGTGTCTGCCTCCTCACTCATACACACCAAAAATAAGACTGCAGAAGGGACAGGTGGCACAGAATTGTCATGAGAAAGGAGTCTTAGAAATCTTATAACTCTCCAGGCCGGGCGTGGTGGCTCACGCCTGTAATCCTACCACTTTGGGAGGCCGAGACAGGCACATCCCGAGGTCAAGAGCTCGAGACCAATCTGGCCAACATGGCGAAACCCCATCTCTACTAAAAATACAAAAATTCGCTGGGAAAAAAAAATGAAAAAATTAGCTGGGCCTGGTGGCATGAACCTGTAGTTCCAGCTACTCGGGAGGCTGAGGCAGGAGAATCGCTTGAGCCCGGGAGGTGGCAGTTGCAGTGACCCAAGATCATGCCACTGCACTCCAGCCTGGCAACAGAGCAAGACCCTATCTCCCAAAAAAAAAAAAAAAAAAAAAAAAAAGGAAATCTTATAACTCTCTTGTTTGATGGTGGTAGGAACAACCACAGACCAAAAGTAGAAACAGAACACAGCTCCACACACCAATCTGTGTTCTACTACACCATGCAGCCTCTGCTACTATGTCAAGTCATTTGAACCAAACCTTCTTGGTAAGAATGACCTCCATTTTTAGGACCTGGGTCTTAGCCTTCCTCAGAAATAGAATAAATATCTATTTTTGTTATATAAGCCAAGAAGTAGTAATAGTGAAAGGAACATAAGGAGCTTCTAATTACCTATTTTAAAATGAAGACTATGCTCTAGCAACTTAACATATAATTCAAAATGGTTTGGGTAGCAACTTTCTAGCTCGAAAACAATTTTACAGGTAAATAGATTTCATGTCTGGAAGTGCAAAGTGATCTTTTCACATAAGCAGTTTATGTCAGTCATAAAACAGGCATTAGTACTATCATGACATCTGTAGTGGCTAATATCTATTGAGAAGTATAAGACATTTACCATCTGTTTCTTTAACTTCTATATGTCTATAGAACATTGCAGTTCTGAACTGAGTGATGGAAAATCTGTTTTCTAGCTTTGATTTCATCATTATTAGCTAGATGGCATTTAATCTCCATAGAAAATATTAAAATAAGTGGAGGAGAATAGTAAAGTGGGAATTTAAGGCCTTCTAAGGCTCCCTTAAGCTCTAAAATTCTATGTACCAAATTACATAAACACATTATTTGTTGTGAGACCCATTAATAATAAAAATCATATATGGCAATTACAGTGCTGTGGCACTGCATGATTTCAGGAGGCAGATTTCTATTAAATATCACCCCTGTAGTCATGCAATGCATAGCCTGGACAATCACAAGTGATGATCTGGCTGGCTAAGGTCTAACGAGCCATTACTATCAGATAGGAGAGATTTAAATTATTATAACAACTGAGAACCTAAAGGACTTGTTTAGTGTAAATACTGCCTAGAGCTGAAGTGGCCCAAAAAAGCCATCTTTGGTAATCTCTCTTTAGGGAGCAACACTCATTAAAACTGTTAAGTTCTCTTTGGTTTATTAAAAGAACTAATTTTATCAAGTATGTCTGGGGGAAAAAATCAATCTTGTTCCTTTACAGTTATACCTTCTTGAACAACCTGATATTTGTTCATCTTGGGATTTTAAAAAAGCAAAAACTCCTTTCTTCATAAAATCAGAATAATATTAAGAAGAGCCATAAACAGAACTAAATTAATCCATTTGTCAAATTTTACGAAGTCTCTATTGGCCTGTAAGTATTTTTCTAGGAACTTCAAATACAAAGATAAAAAGGAAAAAATCCTTGCCCATCAGGAGCTCATATTTCAGTGAGAAATATAAACCTAAATATATAATAATAACAGAAAAAGGTAAATACAAACTATAATTGCAGTGTATCATAAATTTTTGTGGGATATGGCAAAGAAAGAGGCTAATTCAGCTTGGCAGTTAAGGAAGCTTCACAAAAGAGCTAACAGTTGAGCTGGATCCTAAATAATCAAATGATGTTCAACAGAGGCCAAGACACACCAAGCAAAGAGCCAGGCCCAGGGTTACAAGAATGCACATAAGCATCCGGAGGGTCTGTGTGACTGGGGGCTTTGATGTGAAGCAAGAAGAAATGGGAACTGCAGCAGGAAAGAGCTGGCTCCTGCCCATCTCTCCAATCTCCTTTGGTGTATCTTACCAAATGCCAAATGCAGCCCAAGATGACTTCGAATATGTCCCAACACAAATTTGTAAACTTTCTTAAAGCATTATGAGAATTTTTTCCTTTTTTTGCTCATCAGCTATTGTTAGTGTATTTAATGTGTGGCCCAAGAAAATTTTTCTTCGTCCAATGTGGCCCAGACAAAAGATTGGATACCCTGTCTTACACCCTTCCTTCCTGAGCCTTAGACACAGGAGTCTTGGTATGTCCTGTCAAAAGCACCATGCTCTTTCTCACCTATGCTCTTCCTAGCTAGCCTTCTCTTAATTTTTCAGGTCCCTGATTAAATAGCAATTCCTCAGTAAGGCCTTTTCTGACTACTCTATATGTATAGTTTCCATTACTGCCACCCCCAAAACTCCCCAAAATTATCCTAGTATCCTGCTTCTTTTCTTCATAGCTCTTAGGAAAACTTTTCATTTGCTTGTTGTCTATCTTCTACCTAAACTGTAAGCTTCAAGGGTTAAAGGGGCTTCGTTTGTTTTACCCAACATTGTACCATGAGCTTAGGTAGGTCCTAGACCATAGCAGGTACTCAGCATTTGTGAAATGAATGACTGAATGTTTGTATGAATGATTGAATGGTTGAATTTAAAAAAGAGCAAAGGAAGAAAGGAAATCTGAGCCAAATTAAGTACCTCCTTATGTATAAGGCCAAAAATTGAGACTTTCTCATAGACAACGGAGTTATTAGGAATTAAAATGACTTTTTTTTACTATTTTATAAATAACATCTAATAAAAGAATACCACAATAGTTACTTAGTTTCATTAATCTTGTACCTTACTTACTTCTCAATGATGCTATAATAGGTAAAGTAATAGGTACATGTTCAATTTCTAAACCATTCTCAGTTATTCGGCGTAATCGTCCACGTAGTTTAACATTTCTTCTTATAAATTCTACTGGAATATCCGAAGAGCTTGTAAATTTTGACGTCTATTGATTTACAAGGAGAAAAATAGAATCACATTATTATTGTCATTTCAAAATTTAAAATGTCAAATTATCAAAACATTTCACAAGAAGACATAACTATCAACATTTGTAAATTTAGGTCTTAATTTCACGTTACTTTAATATGATTTAGTCAAAAGTGTTTAAGGAAACATTATTTAGAAGTCATTATTCACCATTTTCAAGCTACTACATAAAGAATATTAAATAGACTCCTAACTTCTAAAAGCTTACAACCTCAAAATATGACACAACTCATCAAAAGACAATGCGTATCTATCTGTGCCTGGCACCACACAAATCTGGTTAAACAGCCTCTATCCTATTCTACATAAGTGCAATGTATTCATGCATATACTGGTGAGAAAACTTAAACAAAGCTGAGTCAAATTAAATTAGAACCTTAACCAACAAAATTTTTTTCTTATTATTATTTTTTATCTTGTAGGAGAAAAGGCACATTTAAAAAAAAAAAGAAAGGCCAACATTAGGAATGTACTACAATCCCTAACACTTAGGTAATTTCTTGAGATCAATCAATACTTTATGCCTATTTTTTCCACATTAACAATAGTACAAGCTTTGTTCATAATTATGGCTAGTTAAGAGGCTTACATAACAGAAGGAAAAGGCAGGCATGATGGCTTATGCCTATAATCCCAGCACTTTGGGAGGCTAAGGTGGAAGGATCACTTGAGGCCAGGAGTTTGAGACCAGCCTGGGAAACATAGTGAGATATCACCTCCACAAAAAAAAAGTAAAAATCAGCTGGGCATTGTAACACGCAACAGGAGGGTCACTTGAGCCCAGGAGTTTACAGTTACAGTGAGCCTTAACAGTGTGCCACTACGCTCCAGCCTGGGTGACAGAGCGAGACCCTGTCTTTGTTAAATAAATAAATAAATAAATAAATAAAAGGATAAATTATTACCCAACTTCCTATGACAGTAAAGTTGAGCTGAAGATTTTATAACCAAGAATAATGTAGGAGACAAATCCAGAATATGGAATATACTATAGAATAAATCACTTGGTCTTCCCAACAAATCAATGGCATGGAAAAAAAAGGGTGGGAAGGAATTATAAAATAAATGAGATTTAAGGAATATAATAAATAAAATATATAGACTATTTGAATAGTCAATTCAGCAAGAGGATATAACAATTATAAATATATATGCAACCAACACTGGCACACCAAGATATACAGAGCCATTAGAGCTAGAGCTAAAAAGATAGATAGATCCCAATACAACAATAGCTGGAGGTGTCAACACCCCACTTTCAGCACTGGACAGATCTTCCAGACAGAAAATCAGTGAAGTAACATTGGACTTTATCTGTCCTATAGACCAAATGAACCTAGGATATTCATAGAAAATTTCAACCAATGGCTGCAGAATACACATTCTTCTCCTCAGTACATGGATCATTCTCAAGGATAGACCATATGTTAGGTCACAAAACAAGTCTTAAAATTTTCAAAATTACATCAAATACCTTCTCTGACTACAATGGAATACAACTAGAAATCAATAACAAGAGGAATCTTGGAAACTATACAAACACATGGAAATTAAACAATGTGTTCCTCAATGACCAATGAGTCAATAAAGAGGTTAAAAAAGAAATTTAAAAATTTCTTGAATCAAATGATAATGAAGGCCGGGCGCGGTGGGTCACACCTGTAATTTCACCATTTTGGGAGGCTGAGGTGGGCAGATCACCTGTGTTCAGGAGTTCAGGGCCAGCCTGGCCAACACAGCGAAACCCTGTCTCTACTAAAACTATAAAAATTAGCCAGACATGGTGGCATGTGCCTGTAATCCCAGCTATTCAGGAGGCTGAGGCAGGAGAATTGCTTGAACCCAGGAGGTGGAGGTTGCAGTGAGCCAAGATCACGCCACTGTACTCCAGCCTAGGGCAACAGAGCAGGACTCTGTCAAAAAAAAATAAAAAAATTATAACGAAAACAAAACATATCAAAACCCATGGGATACAGCAAAAGCAGTACTAAAAGGACATTTTATAGCTATAAGCACCTACATCAAAAAAACAGAAAAACAAACAATGGTCCATCTAAAAGAACTAGAGGCCAGCATGGTGGCTCACGCCTGTGATCCCAGTACTTTGGGAGACCGAGGTGGGCGGATCACGAGATCAAGAGATTGAGACCATCCTGGCCAACAGGGTGAAACCCCACCTCTACTAAAAATGCAAAAATTAGCTGGGTGTGGTGGCACATGCCTGTAATCCCAGCTACTCAGGAGGCTGAGGCAGGGGAATTGCTTGAACCCAGGAGGTAGAAGTTGTAGTAAGCCAAGATCGTGCCACTCCACTCCAGCCTGGCAACGGAGCGAGACTCCTTCTCAAAAGAAAAAATAAAATAAGAGCAAACCAAATCCAAAATTAGTAGAAGAAAATAAATAATAAAGATCAGAGCAAAAATCAATGAAATTGCAATGAAGGAATACAAAAGATCAGGGAAATGAAATGCTGGTTTTTTGAAAAGAAACAAAACCTAAAGACTCCACCAAAAAACTATTGGAACTGATAAATTCAGTAGTTACAGGATACAATATTACTACATAAAAATCAGTGATATTTCTATATGCCAAGAGTAAAGAATGTGAAAAAGAATAAAGAAAGTAATCCCACTTACAATAGCTGGAAATAAAATTAAATACCTAGGAATTAATTTGCCCAAAGAAGTGAAAGATTTCTGCAATGAAAACTATAAAATACTGGCTGGGTGCAGTGGCTCATGCCTGTAATCCCAGCACACAGGGAGGCCGAGGTGGGCAGATCACTTGAGGCCAGGATTTCAAGACCAGCCTGACCAATATGGTGAAACCCTGTCTCTACTAAAAATATAAAAATTAGCCAGGCACGGTGGTGCATGCCTGTAATCCCAGCTACTTGGGAGGCTGAGGCATGAGAATCGCTTTAACCTGGGAGGTGGAGGTTTCAGTGAGCCAAGATAGTACCACTGCCTGAGTAACAGGGCAAGACTCTGTCTCAAAGAAAAAAAAAAAGCTATAAAACACTAATGAAATAAATTGAAAACAACTAATGAGAAAATTTTCCATGTTCATGAATGGATTGGAAGAATCAATATTGTTAAAATGCCCACACTACCCAAAGCAATCTACAGACTTAATGCTATCCCTACCAAAATTCTTCACAGAAACAGAAAAACCAATCCTCAAATTTATATGGAGCCACAAAAGACCCAGAATAGCCAAAGCTACCCTGAGCACAATGTACAAAACTGGAACAATCATATTATTTCACTTCAAATTATAATACATCACTTCAAATTATAATACAAATTATATATATGGAAATGTATTTGTTCCAGTATTGTACATTACAATCATATTACTGCACTTCAAATTATAATATAGTAACTAAAACGGCACAATACTATCATAAAAACAGATACATAGACCAATGGAACAGAATACAGAACACAGAAACAAATCCACACATCTACAGTGAATTCATTTTCAACAAAGGTGCCAAGAACATAAATTGGAGAAAGGGCAGTCTCTTCAAAAAATGATGCTGGGAATACCGGATATCCATAAGCAAATAAATGAAGCTCTTTCTCATCATATACAAAAATAAACTCAAAATGGATTGAAGACTTTAAGAATTCAAACTATGACTCTACTACAAGAAAACATTGGGGAGACTCTCCAGGACATTGGACTGGGCAAAGATTTCTTGAAAAATATCCTACAAGCACAGGCAACCAAAGCAAAAATAAACAAATGGGATCACATCAAGTTAAAAACCTTTTGCACAGCAAAGGAAACAATTACCAAAGTGAAGAGATAATCCACAGAGTGGGAGAAAATATGTGCAAACTATCCACTTGACAAGGGATTAATAACCAGTTTATATAAAGAACTCAAGCAACTCTATAGGAAAAAAATCTAATTATCCCATTTAAAAATGGTTGAGAGATTTGAATAGGCATTTCTCAAAAAAAGACATACAAATGGCAAATAGGTATATGAAAAGGTGCTCAGTATCACTGATCATCAGAGAAATCCAAATCAAAATTACAATATCATCTCACCCCAATTAAAATGGCTTTTATCCAAAAGATAGGAGAAAACAATTGTTAGCAAGAATGAAGAGAAAAGGGAACCCTTATACACTGTTGGTGAAAATGTAAATTATTACAACCCTTATGGAGAACACTTTGTAGGTTCCTCAAAAAACTAAAAATAGGCTGAGCGCGGTGGCTCATGCTTGTAATTCCAGCATTTTGGGAGGCCAAGGCGGGCGGATCACAAGGTCAGGAGTTCGAGACCAGCCTGACCAACATGGTGAAACCCCGTCTCTACTAAAAATACAAAAATTAGCTGGGGGGTAGTGTGCATCTGTAATCCCAGCTACTCAGGAGGCTGAGGCAGGTGAATCGCTCGAACCTGGGCAGAGGATGCAGTGAGGCAAGATTGTGACACTGCACTCTAGCCTGGGTGACACAGTGAGACTCCATCTAAAACAACGAAAACAACAACAACAAAAAAACTAAAAATAGAAGTACCATATGATCCAGCAATCCCACTGTTAGATATATACCAAAAGAAAGGAAATCAGTATATCAAAGATATATCTTTAATCCTGTGCTTATTGCAGCACTATTCACAATAGCCATGATTTAGAAGAAACCTAAGTGTCCATCAACAGATGAATGGATAAAATATGGGCTGGGTGCAGTGGATCATGTCTGTAATCCAAGCACTTTGGGAGGCCAAGCCAGGCACATCACTTGAACCCAGGAGCTGGAGATCAACCTGGGTAAGATGAAAAAACCCTGTCTCTCCAAAAAGTACAAAAATTAGCTGGGCATGGCAGCTCACACCTGTGGTACCAGGTACTCAGGAGGCTGACATGGGAGGATCACTTGAGCCTGGGAGATCGAGGCTGCAGTGAGCCATGATCACACCATTGCACTCAACCTGGGTGACAGAGTGAGACCTTGTCTCAAAAAAGAAAATATGGTACATGTACACGGTGGAATACTATTCAGCCTTAAATAGAACTGTCATTTGCAACACCATGGGTGGAACTGGAGGTCATTATGTTAAGTAAGACAAGAAAGAAAAAACTTTGCATGTTGTCACTTATTTGATGGAACTAAAAAATTCAAAAATTGAATTCATGGAGACAGAGAGTAGAATATTGGTTGCCAGAACCTGGGAAGGGTAGCTGGGGATAAGAAAGATGTGGGGTTGGTTAATGAGTTTGAAAATATAATTAAATAGAATAAATAAGATTAATATTTGGTAGCCTAACAGGGTGACGACTGTCAACTATTATTTATTATACATTTTTAAATAGCTAAAAGAGCATAATTGGATTGTTTGTAACATGAAAAAAGAATAAACGCTTAAGGTGATGGATACCCTATTTACCTTGATGTGATTATTATGCACTGTATGCCTGAATCAAAATATCTCATGTACCCCATAAATGTATACACCTAGTATGTACCCACAAAAATTAAAAGGAAAAAAATAGACAAATTGGACTTCATAAGAATTAAAAACTTGCACATCCATGAGCACTAACAACAGAGTTAGAAAAAGCAAACACACAGGCCACAGTGGCTCATGTCTGTAATCCCGCCACTTTGGAAGGCTGAGATGGGAGAACTGCTTGAAGACACGAGTTCAAGACCAGCCTGGGCAGCATAGCGAGACCCTCCATTGCTACAGAAAAATTAAAAATTAGCCAGGCAGGGTAGCAGGTGCCTTTAGTCCCAGCTACTCAGAAAGGTGAGACAGGAGGATCACTTGAGGCCAAGAGACTGAGGCTGCAGTGAGCCATGATCGTACCACTGCACTCTAGCCTGGGCAGAGTGAGACCTTGTCTCTAAAACAAACAAACAAAAAAAACAACAACAACAAAGGCAACATACAGAATGGATGGGAGAAAACATTTGCAAATCATTTATCTAATTAGGGATTCAGAATATAGAGAACTCCTAAAATTCAACAACAAAAAACCAAACAACCCATTCAAAAAGGGGCAAAAGAGCTGAATAGACATTTATCAAAAAAACACATATGAAAGGCCAATGAGCACATGAAAAGATGCTCAACATCACCAATCATTAAAGAAATGCAAATCAAAACCACAATGAGATACTACCTCAAACCCATTAGGATGGCTACTAACAAAAAAAAACAGAAAATAATAATTGTTGGTAAGAATGTGGTGAAACAAACTCTTATGCATTGTTAGTGCTAATGTAAAATAGCCACTACAAAAAACAGTATGGCAGTTACTAAAAAAATTTGAAATAGGCCTGGCACAGGGTCTCACGCCTGTTATCCCAGCTCTTTGGGAGGCCAAGGCAGGTGGATCACTTGAGGTCAAGAGTTCAAGACCAGCCTGGCCAACACAATGAAACCCTGTCTCTACTAAAAATACAAAACAATTAGCCAGGTGTCGTGGCAGGCATTAGCCAGGTGTGGTGGCAGGCACCTGTAATCCCAGCTACTCAGGAGGCTAAGGAAGGAGAATCACTTGAATCTGGGAGGCGGAGGTTGCAGTGAGCCGAGATCACACCACTTCACTCCTGCCTGGGTGACAGAGTGAGACCCATCTAAAAAAAAAAAATTTTAAATACAATTTCTATGTAATCCACTTCTGGGTATATACCTAAAATACTGTAACTGAAAGCAGGGTCTCAAAGATTTATTTATACAGGCATGTTCATAGCAGCATTATTCACAACAGCTAAAACATGGAAGGAACCCAAGTGTCCATCAACAGATGAACAGAGAAGCAAAATGTGATATACACTTACAATGGAATATTGTTGGTCTTAAAAAGGACAAAAATTACGATATATGCTACAACACGGATGAATCTTAGTAATATCAGGCTAAGTGAAAAAAGCCAGTCACAAAAAGACAAATACAATATGATGCTACTGACATGAGGTACTTAGAGTGGTCAAAATCATAGAGATTAAAAATGGAATGATGGTTGCCAGGAGATGAGGGGAAAGGGAAGTTGGAGTTATTGGTTTTTATTCATTTTGTTTTTTGAGATGGAGTTTCGTTCTTGTTGCCCAGGCTGTAATGCAGTGACACAGTCTCAGCTCACTGCAACCTCCGCCTCCCGGGTTCAAGCAATTCTCCTGCCTCAGCCTCCTGAGTAGCTGGGGTTACAGGCACCTGCCACCACACCTGGCTTATTTTTTGTATTTTTGGTAAAGACAGGGTTTCATCATGTTGGCCAGGCTGGTCTCGAACTCCTGACCTCAGGTGATCCACCTGCCTTGGCCTCTCAAAGTGCTGGGATTACAGGCGTGAGCCACCGTGCCGGCCCCTGGAGTTATTGTTTAATGGAAATAGAAAAAAATTATGTCTATTACGCTACTAATAAAACATTAGTGAAAGAGCTAAGAAAATGTGCTAACTGGAAGCATAAATTATTGAGTGTTGAGGGACATAATTCGACTGTGGTCTCAATCAAAAAGCACCACAAAAAACACTTTTAAGATATTCTGCAGTGTTTGAAATGCAAATTTAGTGATTATAACATTCTAGCAAAGTAAATCCTTTTCAGATTCCTTTTTAAGAATGAAAAAAAGTGATTATGGAAATATAGACCATGCAATTACTTTCTGTAAAATCCTGTGGATGTGTTACTTTTAAGCCAAGACCTTAAAATATGTTCATTGTTCTAAAATACTATTTAAAAGCTACCAATATGCATAACAATATGATACACTGCTTGAGATAAAAATTGTCTAAAATGTGAATAAAGTACCTACCTGCTGCTTACTGTAATGTCTTTTTCATTTTTTAACTTACCAGTCGAATACTTCTTGTAAGTAATATTATTCCAGCTATGGCCATTCCAGTGCTGATGTTCTACAGAAAAAGATTTAAGGGTTAACTCTCATTAATTATTATTCACAATAGTGAAAGTACTAATTAGAAGGTGGAAAAAAAGAAGACTGTCCTCTCTATATCTAATTGTACAAACGATGTACATCCTTCAAATAAAGGTCCACTTCTTCAAAAAACTGCTTATTCATTCATTAATCTTTCCTTCTTTTAACTTTTACAATACTCAAATTCTTTCCCAAACAATCTGGCACACAGAGAGATTGTGTGTGTGTGTGTGTGTGTATGTGTGTGTGTGTACATATACATATATGTAAATATATACACATACATATACACCCACCCACCCCCATACACACATACATATATGTATATAGTATTGGACTGTTCTCCACTGATTGTATTATTTAACTATCAGTTCCATAGATGTATGAACTGGTCTAGTACTTCTTGTACAGTGGCCATGGCAATTAGTATAATCTTGCATTCATGGTGGGAATTTAAGTATTTGGTAGAAAATCTTATCACTAAAACCTTAAAATACAGAACCTTGGCAAATGTGGGTAAATGGCTGAGGAATGCTCAGTGATGTTTTTTAAGTGTTTCATTTTAACTGGGGTAGGCCTAAAGGAGTTTAATGAAAAATTAAGAATCCTGCAACTCTCTCAAAAAAAGTGATAATCTAACACACTTTGCTTCAATCAGTACAACTAGGTACATAAAATGAGACTGAGGCTGGGCAGGATATCTCATGCCTGTAGCCTGTAATCCCAGCATTTGGAGAGGCCAAGGCGGGTGGGTCACTTGAGGCCAGGAGTTTGAGACCAGCCCTGCCAACATGGTGAAACCCTGTCTCTACTAAA